AGCCGAGGGGGAAACAACTTTGAATTTTTGTGTACACTTGTTTGAATTTTCTTGAGTTTTTATTGAATTTTTGTGAATTTTCTTGAATTTGAAATGTCTGCCAATTTTCATGAATTTTCTTGAATTTTTGTAACTTTTCTTGAATTTTTGTAAATTTTCTTGAATTTTTGTAAATTTTCTTGAATTTTTGTAAATTTTCTTGAATTTTTATTGAATTTTCTTGAATTGTTGTAAATTTTCTAGAATTTTTGTTGTATTTTGTAAGTGTTATTCTTTTGTTGTATAAATAATTCGTTATAAATAAACTCGTTAACGTTGTTTAAATTTAATAAAACGTTACAATACAAACAAAATCACAATTATTCTAAGTTATTTACAAAATCAGACAGGTTTAGAGTAAATAAGAGATCCTTGCTGAAATAATGGAGACGGAAGGGTACAAATATCTTCAATAGAAACAAATTCATGGGTGGACGACGCGTGCTGCAGGGTGCCTGTTGTCCTTACAGTGAACCAGCTACATAGGCAGCCGAGTCCTCTACCCTCTATTCCATCTGGGACGGCAGTGGGCGCGCTTGACAGAGAATAGGCGCGTTCTCGGCCAACTCCTGATAGATATCGAAAGGCGAGAACCCTTCCTGCTCGCCACTTCTGTCCGTCTTCACACCGGAAAGCACACCCAGTCTCCCGCAGCGTCCAGCGATGGTATTGCGTCGGCCAATGTCACCTTTTCCCTGGCGCTGGTGTCGCTCTGCTGACGAAGGAGCGGCAGTCTCCCGCACCCGAAGGAGGCGGTCGGCGCTGAGGCGATGGGCGTCCATTAGTGTATAGCCAACAAAGAGTGTCTTGCGCACTGGAACTTGAATCCCGGGTTCCTCCCGGGTGTTAGTAAACAAAACTGCTCTCGGGAAATTGGTGATGTTCTGCTGGTTGCCACCAGTTCAGTTTGGTTGCACATTGTCACGCTCGTCAGGTCGGGAGGATCCCAGGCAGCTGGTCACCGACAGTGTCGGCTTGAACTTCGCACACATCAACGTGTCATCCATGGAGTGGATCTTCGGCACCAATATTGCAGCGCTTCCAGCGAGAAACGGTGGTAGGATCTTTTTCGGGTCATTCCGAGGTACAAGGAGATCTGGCCCTATCACGAGCCATCTCCACTGTTATCGCAGGATGAACCCTGTTTGGTAACTCTTTTGAAATGAGAATCTGTAATTTTGATTTGCAGCTGCTACTCTTCTTTTTCCTCTCTGTAAAACAATTGCAGAACGTAAAAAATTTCCCAGAGGCTTGTTTGTGTGGAATTGAGGAAAGTGCGTATTCCCTTGGAAGGCGGTAGTCATTATTACTGATTTACAACGTGATCTTGCAGCTCTATTATAGAAGTCTGCCCAGGAGCTTGCAGAATGCTGAATCACCCATGTTAGCGTAAGTCGATGTTGCGCCGTGCAGCCCGGAAAATTTTTTCACGTGACTTCCAAAAGGTGAGGTATAAAACAAGTTTGTTTGCTAGCATATGTAAACTTCGTCCCCTTTAGAAAGCGTGAGCATTTAGCTCAATGCATGTAAATGCGTTACTTGAAATAAAACAGTTTTGGGCAGGAGTATGTCCTTACTCAACACAACCGACTGGGCCAACAATCGAAGGAAAAAGACGGATTCTCATGTTAGAAATGTACGATCGTTGCAGTTAAATTTTCTTTTCAAGAAAAGCAATCCAGCGTCTCTCGTCATTGTAGAAATGCCTCTGTTCGTCAGCGGTCGGTTTTAGCGCAACATTTCAATACGCGTTCATCAGTAATTTTCAGAAAAGAAGGGAAGTTCTTTGTCTTGTCCATCAGGTCGCTGTTAGTCAGTCCATGCTCAAATTTTGATGTCGTGTCGATGACATGGCTTGGCAAATGTGGTCTAGAGATAACAAATTTGCCCATTATGAGTGCCTAGATTTCTTACCATATGCGCTCGTAGCTTAGTCCCATATGAACTGTTGTCTGAAACCAAATTAGCCAATGGAGTGAGGGGGTGCTAAAAGATGTTTTAATTGATCAAATCCAATAGACAATAGACAGGTATTGTATTCATAATCCTTGCCTTAGGTATTCTAAAGTACACGTTCCTATTATTGAGAGTAGGTAGGTAGTATCTTACCTACTTTGACAAAATGCCGAACGGAGTTGATATTTAAACAATTAAAGTTCCGAAAAATAACAAAAACGAAAATAAATGTCAAGATGCCTAACGTATTAAATCACCTAAATTTTAATCCTCTTATATCCCCTTCATCACTGTCATTTTATCACACAAGTTTGGCAAATTTCAAAAATTCTGTTCGATAAAAATTGCGCTAAAGGACGTTAATTTCGCTACTAATATCGCACTTTACTATTATTCTATTACGATTACGATCGCAAACTAGCTTCTCTTCTGGTCTTACTTTTAAGCGCCGCGCTGCTTCGGAGATATATTAATTTGTAGTTGTAGGCATTTAAAAGAGGCATCAGAGGCGTAAATAGGGCCCCGCAGCACAGCCAAAGGGGGCCCACATATGAGATAGAATCTCTTTCCCGAATTATAATAATAATAATAATAATAATAATAATGCCTTTATTGAGTAGCAGCTGCAAAATGTAGAAAGGAAAATGATAGTATTACAGCTCAAAGGGCGGAGTTCAGCTTGTAATAAAAATTACTCGCTGCTCTTCCACTCAACCCATAACGATTGTTTAAATGATCACATAAATGTTATAAATTCAGTTGTATGCGTCATGTAACAAGAAAAAAGAAAAAAATAGTAAAATTAAAACATAAATTATAAAGTCTATCTACTATTTAAAAAATGCAACTGAAGAATATTTTATAATTTTACATCAGCGAAAAATTGAGGTTTTTATGCCTGTGACAATACAAGCATTCATTCTTATTTAGGTACCTTATCGCATATCTACACATTGCAGCGGCAGACGTAAATTAGCTCGTAAATTAGTCATCTTCCGAGCCGACCTCGACATATTTATATATTCAAGCTATTTCCTGGCTTTCTGATTTTCTGCAACTTTTCGAAGTATTTTACGCCCTCAATAAAGCTACACCCTGTTTGCAAAACGTCCTAAATTTTTCCTTGTGAAGAGTTTTTATTTTTATTATTTTCTTTCCAGTTTGGTCTTTTAATGTGGCGTGTCAACTATCAGCCGTGAATGAGGCGCGTATCTGCAGTAATTTTAATCTTTCGTGTTTCACGTTTTACGAAATTGTCTTCAAAGTTTAATGCAGGCAGTGAGACCAGCAGGCTGAATTTTTCTTTTGCAGTTTCTGGAATTTTTTGAATTCTCTTGAATTTTTTGAATTCTCTTGAATTTTTTTGAATTTTTTGAATTTTTTTGATTTTATTGAATTTTCTTAAATTCTTCTAAATTTTCTGAATTTTTGTAAATTTTCTGAATTTTTTGAATTTTTCAGAATTTTTTTGAATTTGAATTTTTGTGTACACATAATTTTATAGTTGTTTCCCCCTCGGTTCAGCCGTTTACCGGAAATGAGGGTACAGACAGATCGACAGACTGTTCCGCCGATCTTTGATCTTCAGGTGTGAGCTCAGAAAGCATAAAAGCAGAAACGTGAAGTTATCTTCAAGAAAAGTACTTTACGATCCACAAATAACTAACCTTTTATTCAATGGCAATTCGATCTAACCAATCGTAATGAAGATCAATATGAACAGATTCTTCGGAATAAAACAAATAACGTAAGT